AGTATGAATGAAAATGACAATTTTTAACATCTAAAATGGAAAATATTGTGACATGACAGTTGAACACTGGGAGAGAATAATAAGTAGAGGTAGTCACTGCTAGGCAGTGGCACAGTAAACACATTTGCATGGCAACACATACTGACACAGCAGTGTGACATGACAGCTGAAAGCTGGAATAGTGGGACAAGAAGAGACTGCTGTTACTAGGCAATGGTGCGGTAAACATGTTTCCACAGCAATGCAACACTAGAGGAAAGGTGGTGCATTTTGTGTGGTTATTGCTGAGGCTATGAAGCAAGGACCAATGGGAAAATTTAGTCAGTTGGAGGTGGAATCTGTGGTTAGTCATTGTGAGCTGCAAGCATGCAGTGGTAGTTCATGGTTAGCTGTGAGGAATCCCCATTGTTAGTAACCACTACCTAGCAATGACTTATGATGACGGAATAACAAACAGAAGACTTTATGTGTGCTGTAGTTGCAGTGATTTATGGAGCATGTAAATTGGTGAGACTCTTATGATCCTTTGTAATTATGAGTTATAAGTGTTCAGTAAATTCAGTTATCAATCCAGACACTGTGTCTAGTCACCAAACATGTGACAGTATTCTTCTGTCTGACAGATCAACCAAACTGGATAAATATTTTTGTATACACACTTAGGTATGTTCTACACGATGTAAACGAGTTTCATTCAATCCATACACTTTTTTACTATTCTATTTAAAACATTTTTTGCACCTTTCAGTAGAATACACAATTTTTTAACAAGCTGTGATGCATTTTCAGTTTTTCATAATTTGAAATGGTGTTTCCTGCAGAAATTCATGCATTGTGATGAACAGATGAGATAATTAGATTCAGATTGAAATGAGAATAGTGTATTGAGAGAGGAAATTCAATTTGGTGAGCTGTTCTTCCATAATGAAGTTTTGTTGATGTTGAAGCCATCTCATTTAGAGTACCCTAAAGAGTGAAGTTGTGGGAACTGTCCACATTCAGGCAAAAATTACAGTGACAACTCAAGTATCATTGGTTAGCAATGGCAGGTAAACAGTCATTACTAGGTAAAGCCTACAACAATATGGACAGTGAGTGGGAGATTTGGATTCCTGTGTGGAGGCGGGGTTGAATACCTCCATCGTGACCCTGCGAGTTATAGGAGGTACTAAAATATGGTCGCTAGTCCCAAGGAACTTGGACCTGAGAAAGACTGCCCTGGCAAGGGCCAGCAGCATATACAAAAGACAGACCCGTCCGCTCGTCAGAGAAGGCGCCTTTCAAAGACCATAACTGTCAAACAGCAATAAATATCTGGTCATGAGCCCCAGACGGGGTTCGACACCAACACTTACTGACTGACCGTCACAATGTGACTTTGACTTTGGAGTTTTGGACTTCCAGTTCATAGTTGCATTTCAGTACAACGTTCAAGGTGTTACAGTGTTCACGATTGTTATTATATTATTAGTCTTCAGCGAGCGACCTTCAATTCTTCCAGTTTGTCTGTGTGTACTGTGCAACTGTAATAAATATTTATAGAACAGTTCAACAAGTGGCTGTCTCTTCATACATACGGCATCCCACAAAGTTATACCTTTTTATATTAATGAGAGGTATGTCATAAATAGCGTCTTTGTAATTTTGCTACTCTTATTAATATCTTGCAAAATCTTCTGGTATTATCATCCCATTTATGAATGGAACTCTTTGTAATCATGAAAGCTACTTGTGATAGAAAATATACGCTTGTCAAGCCCTTAAGTTCTTTGTGGAATCTGGAGACAGGGCTTCACATATTTTCAGATCTGAGCACTATGAGAAGCTGTGTCTACTTCCATCCTTCTTTACTTATTACTAGGGACCGGATATTTATGCCATAATAATCCCTTAAATATGTATGCATTTATGCTTGAAAAACTTCCAAAATATGCACTAAAATATGCACATAAAAATTTATACCAAATATTAAAATTGATTTTACATTATTTTAAGACCAACAAATCAATATTTAAGTTCATTTTATGTAATCACTGAATGATTCACTTGCAATAAAAAGCTGTACTTAAATATAAATCATGCAACAAAGCCAACATATTTCATTACAAATTTAAAAAAGCCAATGGTACTCACATTTAGCTCTCCGAACTTTCAACTTCTCTTCTGTTGCAGTTCACAATTACTAAATGTTTTAGGTTTTCCATAGTTAGTCGCCTCCTATTGTCTCATAAGATGTCCTTATTACTTATTCACTCATGGAGCTGAGCCCTTCTGGAGGAGCCGTCAATTCTGCAGCTACTCAAGAATTTCCCAGCATTTTATGGAATCCAAAGGGTCATTACCATGTTCACAAGAGCCCTCCACTGGTCCCTATCCTGAGCCAGATCAATCCAATCAATACCATCCCATCCTGTCTCTCTATGATCCAGTATAATATTGTCCACCCACCTACCCCTTGGTCTTCCCAGTGGTGTCTTTCTGTCTGGCTTTCCCACCAATACCCTATACACATTCCTTGTCGCCCCCATTTGTGCTACATGCCCTGCCCACCTCATCCTCCTTGACTTGATCATTCTAGATGTCCTTACAGCGGGAAAAACTTCTTTCCACCTCACAGGAACTTAGGGGCACATGTACAAAAGCCGCTATTTCCTCCACTGTTAGTGATTTTTTAATTGGCAGTTCAATATGTTTACCGGCTAAAATTTCTTCAATTTCACAAATATGTTCATATCCTGGATTTTTTAAGAGAATGCTGTGTACTTTTTCCTTTACTACTTCACCAACTCTTCCAGGAACTGAATTCAATTTGGAAACAGTGGTTCTGAACACACTTAACAACTGATACAGAGTAGTATTGCTATTGCTTGCCTCCAGTGAGGAAATGGCGGATGGAAGATGAGAGAAGTGAGCAGATATATAGGAAAGATTAGTTTCTAGTTCTGCATTTTTTAGTACATCTTGGGCAATTTGAATTGATGCTGCACTTTTGGGATCAAATGTATTCACAATATTCCTAACTGTTTTTTAATGTTTGGTATAATAACTCGCTGCACACAGCCATGTGCCCCAGCGCATTAAAATTGGTTCTGGCAGAAGTGAAACACTTGGTGCTACTTCTTTAAAGGCTTCTTTTCTGTATGGTGCTTTAACAAATACCTTCTTCACAGAAGACACCAACTTGTCAACAATTGGAAAATTTGCATGAATTGTTTCTGCAACATGGTGCAACCCATGGGCAAGTCAAGTCAAATGTGTCATATTTGGAAATATAACTTTAAGAGCTGTACTGGCTTTCATCATATAACCTGCGGCATCAGTCACAAAGAGCAATACGTGCTCATACTGAATGCCATTCGGCCATAGTAAATTCATGGAATTGAAAAAAATTGGAAACTGCAGAGCTATTTGTGGTTTCAAATTGCACTACTGCAAGAAGGTATGGGGTAGAGTGTTCATTCTTATTAAGGGATCCAACTATACAATTTGCAATAAGCCGTCCCTCACAATCTTGTGTTTCGTCGATTGATACCCACACAAAATTATCTTGAATCTTATCTCTAATGCTTTCAATTGTAAGATCGTAACACTGCTTCATGTAATTTTTGCACACAGTAGATTCATCCGGCACTTGCACTATGTATACATCTCTATGAAGTTTCTCAGAGTAGGATTGGTTACTTTCCACAGCGGAATATCTGCCGCTAAAAAGGCTTCGCATAAATCAAAGGAAAACTGAAAAACTATTATTACAGAATTCACTAAGCAATTTTTGAACAGGATTACTTTTCGTGGATTTAAGTTTAATATTCTTTTTGTGTATATTAGTGTTCAAATGCTGAAGCACTTGAAAGCGTTTTTGACAACTCACTGTTTTCTCACACACTTGCCAATAAAGAATTTCGTTATCTGAACTTATCATCTCTCCTTCGAACTCCCGCTGATACAGCTGTAGTGTAGTTTTCTGATTTACTTTCACTTTCGGCATGACTACAGAAAGCTAAACAAACTTAACTACAGCTTAGTCACCACTAATGTGAATGGCCCCCAGCTTCAAATGAAGAAGTGCAACAAACGTCATGGAGACTTCAGAAATAAATAATTGAAGTCCCTTATCGGTTGAATAGTATTATGTTGATAGCGGCTACATGTGGATGCTTCTGACCAATCTCTTTGCGGCCACTTTGATTGTACATGGATGAGGCAAGTTATGAGTAGAGGGATCGGGGAAGTTCCATCCTGGGTATGCATCAGAAACATGAATCATGATGAAATGTTGACTCAAATATGCAGCATATTCTAATACGGAAAAGAAAAGTTGCATACACACGACCATGATTGAAAATTTTAACATAAAATTAAGAAATATATATGATAAACATTATAAACAGTAAATGTGCAGTATAAATAGAGATCTTCGAAAATATGATGCTTATTCATAAAACAGGCAAAGTATGCATCTATATGCACCATCAAACCATGTCCAAAATTTAAGAAATGAAGTAATTTATACATATATCCAAACGAGCATACTTTCTGGTTGCAAGAAAGAAATATGCATTTGCATTAAAATCTGGTCCCTACTAATTACATACAAATTTGGTTGATTCCCTGAGCTATTCTTAACTTGCAATGAAGAGGTCCAATGTTTATGCCACTGATCAAGTTCCTACCCTGTAGTTCTGAGCCAGTTACTTTCCTAATTACTGCTGCTCACCAAACAGTTTCAGTTTAGTGCTTAGAACGCTGGCTTGGAATTTGGGTGACCTAGGTTTGATTCTTGGTGTGGAGAGTGGATGTTCAAAGAGGTGTATATGTGGTGTTCTTTAGTCTACAACCAGATATGTCCATAAAGAGTAAATTATGACCTAGAAATAGATGATGTATAGATCAAGTCTCATACACCTATTGAAAAGAAAAGTATGAATGAAATGATTTTTTTTATTGTTGTATAGGATAGTGAAAGTGTTAACCCTAATTGAAGAATAATTTTCCTTTAGCAACTGTGGACCTAGCACCGTCACCTCGACCAAGTCTGCGCCAGGGAGCCACCAACTCAGGATCTAGCCACAGTCAGCATAGTTTGAGCCATCCATCAAGTAGCAGTCCTTCCTCAACCACCCCTGATACAGAGGGAGGGGGCAATGTCACGTCTGCAGCTACAAGCAGTGAGGTTGAAGAAGAACCTCCTCCACCACCCATTGCCACTAGACCTGAAAGGACAAAGTCAATTGTAAGTCCCTGGATAGTTATACTGGCCAAGGTGATGGACAACAGGTTCTGTAATGACAGGGATTTCTAGAATAAGTAAATAATTAGGTCACTGACTGTATATTATCACCTACTGTTGTATGCTACAAGTTACAATGGAATCTTAGTATTGTCACATGGTAGTGACTGAACTACAGTTTTGGGTTGGAAGTGGATTTTGACACTGAATACTCTTATCTACAGCTGTTTACCAAATAATCACAGTTGTTCACAGTCAGACCATTCTTGCTTAGTTCCTTTGATACTGTGTTTTCACAGGCTCTAGGTTGCAGGCTTTCTTGTCATGGTCCCCGCTGCTAGATCAGTCTCTCCCTGTTTTGATTGCTCTGGAACATTTAACTTGGTGCTGTTCCCATCAGTACCTGCAGTCATGTGGATGTGTCCATTGTCACAGATGTGTTTTTTCCCATGACCTTTGTTATATTTCTGTGATTCCAAGATTCTGAATTTCAGGCATAATGTCATGTTACTTCCTTCTTAAGACTGCTTAGCTTAGAAAGTTGCCAGGCATATAGCATTATTTCCACCCTTAGGGACCTTACTGCTACAGATTCTGAATTTTAGGGGTCATGTCAAAGTAGCTTCTCTCTGCTTTGGAAGGGTAGTTGCTGGTCCAGTGACAGTCTTATTATGCAGAAAATTTCGCATACTAGTGCATTCAGACATTGTATTGCAATCAGAGTAGCAGACATAAAATTAGTTATTGTGGAGTCAGTGGGAAAAATTGAACAACTTGACGTTACACAGTGAAAGAAGATCCATACGTTTTCTTCCTAGAAAGGCTGAGGTGGTGGTAATGTTTGAGGAGTAAATACAGCAATTCAGGAACTTGTACAAGTTTTGTATCATTATGAAGTCCTGGTTTCCATAGGATGTCTTAATTTCAGAAATACACTCCATATGACTGATGTGTATTTATTTTTAGCTTCCATATGAAAGTAAGATGCATCTTATGTATGCATCCATTTTGTGAATTTAGATTTTTTAGTGATTTTAGTACTTCTGTATTTCAGCATACTGTTTCAGTTTTTTAACTTAACGTCCATATTTATCATCCGTCAGTATTGCAACACTTGTTTATTCACAACGTAATCTTAATTTTAGTTTAACGTGTTCTGTCAAAGTGTAAAATGTTAAACTAAAATTAAGATTAAGTGGTGAATAAACAAGTGTTGCAATATTGATGGATTATAAATATGGACATTAAATTTTAGTACTTGTATATAGATTAGGGAGCATGTGGTAGCATAGTTGGTGGAGGCACTATGCTACAAGCCGGAAGGTTGCGGGATCAAATCCCAATGGGGTCATTGGATTTTTTCACTACCTAATTCTTCCAGCCGTACTATGGCCCTGGGGTTGACTCAGCCTCTAACAGAAATGAGTACCAGGAATATTCTTAGAAAGTTCTTGGGGGTGAAGGGCGGCTGGCGGGTAAGGCTGACAACCTTACCACCATCTATGATCCGATTGTCTAGAAAATGTGGGAACCTCAACATCTCACAACCCTATGGGCCTCCATGGCCTGTTACAGGGATACCTTTACTTTACTTTTACTTGTATATAGATTAATGTCTATATTTATACATTTTTAGTTATATTATGGATCTGTCGATTTCACAGTATACAAAACCAATTGAAGAAGAAGCAGTTGTGTCATCTGGAAACCCTCCTCCACCTCGCACCACTAATGGGACTCTGGATAAAAACCGCAACAATGCTAGTGTAGGACCTGGCGGTGGAACAGGCGGTGGAGATCCAAGAACTCCTAGTGATAAGGCTCGTAAAAAGAAAATGAGTGATGAAGAAATTTTAGAACGATTAAGAACAATAGTTAGTGTTGGAGACCCCAACAGGAAGTATACCAAGATGGAAAAGATTGGACAGGGGTGAGTTGTTGATTTCTTAAATTTGCTGGAAGATGCGAATACATCATTTCCCACTTTGGTGGTGATGCCTTGTGATTGTTGCTGAAGTTACCATTTGAACAGTGCAGTGCACTACCAGCCTGTCTCATAACTGGTAATTATTTTGGGATTTTCATCATTTCCATAGCTACTGCAAGAAAATTCTGGGAGGATACTAAGGAAGAAACTGCCTACTTCCTTCCTGACCCTCACACTTTGTCCCTAAAATGAAATTTTTCACATTGTCCAGGACGTGTGAGCTAAAACAATGTCTCTAAATTGCACATTGCATAAGGAAATCTTGTAACATAAAATATTGATTATTTAATCTATTAAAACACTTTACATCATTTGTGAAATGTGCCAAGAAAACATGGCAGTAATTTATCTTTGTGAAGTTCAAATGACAGAATAGAGGCATTTTGCAACTTTGCTTCAAACAGTTTTCAGCTTGTATGGTTTGTGCTTAAAAATATGGCAGTTCCATAATTTATCCTCATGATATAGTCATTTCTGAAATTTGCTTCAGAACATACAGCCATTTGTTTAATTCTGCTTCATCTGAATGCTAGTTTATAACTCATTTATTCCTTCCCATATGCACCTGCCTGTTTGTTTTGCTACATGGTTCATGAAGAAACTGAACATTACTTATCCTAAATATGGTAACATTCCAGGCTCAGAAGTTGTTTATTCAAGGAAAGCAATACATTTCTTAATGTGGAATGTTTGGTAGCACTGCAAAAATCTGATATTAAATATGGGAAAATGTTAAAACCAGGAATTATATGTTCTGTAGTACTATAACTGTCAGTTATGAGTAATGTCAGCTTCACTTATTACAATGACCAGTATATCTGCAGAAAAATACTGATGGAGATAAAATATTGATTGAGTACTTTTGGAGAATTTAGTATATATACTCTGAACTTGACTATCTGTGTTACCAACAGTGCTTCAGGAACAGTGTACACCGCTATTGAAACATCAACGGGAATGGAAGTGGCTATCAAACAGATGAATTTATCACAGCAGCCCAAGAAGGAACTGATTATCAATGAAATACTAGTAATGCGAGAAAACAAGCATCCCAATGTAGTGAACTATCTAGATAGCTATCTGGTTGGGGAGGAACTTTGGGTAAGATCTGTATTCTGTGTATCTTTTCCTTTATTTTGTACTTACACTTGCTTGCTGCAAGGTGTAAGTACTTGTACCTATCAAGAAGCAGAGAGATTGTGACCCATAAATGGTGTATACGGTATAATTGAAAGAGCAGTGAGCATCAGAATTAATTAGTATTTATGGCTAATAAATCTTTGTGTACACATATAGGTTTGTGGAAGTCAATATTGTGGTTACTTGCATAACTTAACCTTCATGTAATTTATGTATCTATTTTTTTTATTGCTAGTGGGTTGGGACTAAGTCCCTTGTAATGCGGCCACTTCTGGCCTATTGTACCAGCCCCAGATGATAGGTGAGGGTGATTGTGGAGCAATTGGAGGAATGAAGATTTGCAGGGGAAACCAAAGTACTCTGAGAAAACCTGCCCCAGTGCCACTTTGTCCACCACAAATCCCACTTGACCCGACCCGGGATCGAACCCAGGCTGTCGCGGTGGGAAGCCAGTGACTAACCGCTTGAGCTATGGCGCAGCCCTGTTTATGCATCTATACTCTAGAACAAGAAATTTCAAAGAAATAGTGACTGGAGAACCTTTGTTTCCAGGTTTAATGTTGAAAATGTAATGAAATTGGGATTTGTATTGGGGGGGGGGCATATCAAATGCTCCAACCATCATTTAACTGTTGCTTTTTTAAAGATCCTTGCAAGTACATACCCTTGTGAAATAAATTTCTCTTCAAATGGACGTTAATGCTATAATTGTTCAGTTGCCTTGGTAGTGTCGCTACCATATTATTCACGTGATGACTTGCCCTACAATACCATATCCTCCCATCTGATGTCTCAGTCTTCTGAGTTGCACAAAAGGAATCTTGGAACCATGAGCCTTTCACTTATACAGTCCAATGATGGCAAATGCATTGGATAGGGAGGATACATAAAGCCGTTACTGCTTGGTAAACTAGGTACTTGATCTCTATCTAGTGTTGATGTCCACGTTTCACATACCTTAAACTGAGCAACATCCATGTCTGCAAACTCTGGAGCTAATATACTTATGTGTTTTTCTTTTACTTGTTTCAAATCATTCATATACCATAAACTATCATGTCTCAGATATAACCAAATGGATTACCAAAAAAATTCTTTCAAAAGTATTCATTGGCTTGATTATAATTATATATAATTGGAGTTGGTGTAGGGTCAGTTGACATAGATGCTTGTGATGTTTTATTTTCCTGAGCTTTGCATTTTCTGTAATTGTGAGCATATAAATTTTTATGTGTTCCTCTATATTCACGCTGTCATTCGGCATTTAATTTTGTTTGTTTGGTACCTTATTACAGTTATCTTCTGACTGCTTTCATTTCCCGTACACACTCATATATGAAACACGACTATTACCAGGGGACATATTAAGTGTGTGACGTCATATGCTGCCAGCTTGCCTATAGCATTGCATCATACAATAGACAGTGGAATTGAATTAGCCATATACCTCACATTTATTACCGCGTTTCAATTGTATTTATAAGGTTCCAGCACTAACCGCATAGAAAACATCGTTTCCATGGGTTTTTCTCTTTCCTCTATTGTTCCATGTTGATTCATTGACGTGATAATGTGTTAAATTTCCGTTCCCTAGAAATGTACCAATAATTACAAATTGCTACAATTTTTGTTACTTATGTAACATATTCTTTTACTAACGGTTTCATTCCATTTGTACCCTCATAAATTAACGTTTTCAAGGTTAAAAATAATAAAATATCATTTTTTACCTTCACAGATTTTTGGTTTGGTAGATATGAATGTAAGTAATTAATCACGTAATTTATGCTATCTGCCAGTTTGTGTATTATCATTGTGGACAGATTTGTCCTAACATATGAAGTAATGCAGAGAAACATTTTCATTTGCTGAGCTTATGCAATAGCCCCACGCACACGCACATGCACATTCGTATGGGCTTGTAACCAGGCGTTAATCTGTTAAAGCAGAAGGGAAAGAAGAAGAAGCTAAGGGTCATGCTCACATCAGTGGTGTTCATAAGCTTCCTTCTGTTGATATGTATGCTCTGGATGTTACCATTGTAGGGACCTGCCAAATTACAGGCCAAATAAATACTGGATTTCCAGTCACCTTTTTGAGCTTATGTGTGGTTGTGTGTGTGTCGTATAAAGCAAGCAGCTTATGCTGTAGGCCTTTGACTCTTATTTCTAGAATCTACTTTAACCCTACTTTGGAATGAGCTGTATTTTGTTTTACAGAATATGATGAATTGGCAGAGTGTTTATATTGTTTGGAAGTATTTGATTGAATTGAATAGCAGAGCCTGCAGTGTGCCACACCACCTCATTGCATCTGTTAATAAACAAGTGTGATTGTTTGTTTTGTAACTTTGTGAACAACAATCCACTTATTAACAAAATACACTACCTCATCTTATGCATAAAACTTTAAAGAATTTTGAGCTAAATATGCCCAATTGTTTTCCAGATGGTCCTAACAATTTCTGGAGAAATGTAACTTTGGGTTTAAGAGTATGTGTAGTTTTGTATGATTTTTATATAATTATGAAGCCATTTGCTGTTATGTAACCCATGAGATTTTCACACATGTCCATAATCCTTCACTGATGTTAAGTAGCTGTACCTATGCACTGCTTGTAATGTTCCACTGCCCAAATGTTTGACCCTTCTGTATCTCCAGCCAGCATTCACTGTCTCTGTTTTTATACTGTTATAACTCTCTTCTGCTTGTATAGAACCTACAGGCCAAGCATGGGTGCATAACTATAGACCAACTGTTTGAGCCTGCACATTGCACATTATTTATTATTAAGGTACCATTTCCTTCACTCTTGAATTTCTTCTCTAAACATCCACGCTGGTGAGAAAGGTCATGTTTTTGTCGACATACATTTCATCAACTGGAAATAGACGGGGAGCAGTAACAAGTGTTCTGGTGATGCAAACACCACCATTCTGCCACAGGTCAGATCATCCCCTCTTTCTGAGTAAGAATGGCTGCAACTGTTAGTGCTGGCCTGCTTTTGTCTTTCATTATATTCACCTGGAGCACTTTGAGGAAATGGAAGGCAGGTAGAAGAGAAGAAACTGTCATGTATTTTTGTCATTGGCATTCCCATGGTAGTTAAGTTCTGTGTTGGGTGCCTTGTTAGATACACTGTAGTCAAGGATTTTGCATCCTTGATATCAGCTTATGTTACCATAGTAATAATGAGCGGTGATTTGAAAGTGTATCAGAAATGGGGGGTATTACAGTTGCATATCTGGGTTCAAACTGAGGGCTATAAATTCCACAGAAAAGAGATTTCACTTTTTTCTCACATAACTAACCTTTTTTCTGATGTTATACAGCCATAATTTTTCTAACAGTCCAATCAATATACACCGCTGTCCAAAAAGTATCCGACTTCATTTTTTTTCCACTGTAAGTAATGGCCAAAGGGGGGGGAAACTGAGTGTAGTGGTAGAATGGACTTTCATGTGCATGTGTGATTCTTTGCTGACTCGCAACACTNGTAAGTAATGGCCAAAGGGGTGGGGAAACTGAGTGTAGTGGTAGAATGGACTTTCATGCGCATGTGTGATTCTTTGCTGACTCGCAACACTGCCGGATGCATCTGTGGCTGCCAGATAGCGAAGTGGTGTAACGCGTGTTCGTCGCATTCTTGTTTCGCTCAAGATGACAGAACACTTGGAGCAGCGATACTGCATTAAGTTTTGTCAGAAAGTTGGGTGTACCTAAGTGGAAACAATCCACAAAATTCAGCAGGCTTTTGGTGATGATGCAATGGGGGTAACTCAAATTAAAGAGTGATTTACCCGCTTTAAAGATGGCCATATGTAGTTAGTATTCATAGGGTTTGCACACCACAACTTTCAGACACAAATCTTTGTTTTAAAAAGTGCCTAAATTATGTGAATAAATATGTTATACATCATAAGTGCATATGCTCAGGGATGCCCAAGCACCTATAATTGCACTGTGTCATGAAATGAGTTCTGTCCTCTGAGCTTGAAAAAGAATTCACTCATGCAAGCAGTTTTGTGTTGTTACCACTAGAGTAGATCATAGAATCTATGTTAGTATTTAGTAACCATTTTTGTGTGTACAGCTTATCACATTTAAGAAACTGCTTGAAATTAGAATGTTTGTTTGTTTTTTATACATGTTCCAGCATAGTTAGTTTTGTTATTTATATTCTTAAAATTGGTCTCATTTTGACATAGAAGTGAAACAGTATTCCTTACTGAAGAAGGTAAAGTTGTCCTTGTGCTTAACTAATTAAGCACCATGCCATGAAGGCATATGGGGGAATGGAGGTATAGATCCATATTTTCTTAACCTTGGCACTTGTTGGGGTGAGTGGTTAGCTTCACGCCCCAGCTGCTTTACCCCTGGGGAAGGAAACACGAGCACCCATTGAATAGGAGGTTGGGTGGGCCCCAGAGCCAGTCTGGTGACATGGAGAAGAGAAAATTCTTGACCCTGCTGGGACTTGAATTCCAACCCTCTGTTCATCCAGCTCTTAGCCAGTCACTATACCGACCACACTGTCGATGTGATACAGAAGTGTGATTTTGGTTTGAACATTGTTGAAAAATCCCACTATTTTTGATATTAGTTGTGTTGTGATGGTTGTAACTAAGAGGTTGTATATTGTAACACAACAGGATGCATGAAATGAAAAAAAATTACCATACATTAATTTGAACATTTCACGTCCCTCAGTAAGCTGAGAAATTCATTTGGAATGAACTGACATAAAACATCATGTAAAATACGACTGCAAATTTTCAACGAAAACTGCAGTTTCCAAATATGTTTAACAGTTTTCTTTAGAGAGGAAATGGGCAGTTTGGGGATGCGATCAGTGGTTTTCTTATTTAATATATTGTAAGCTTTTGGTTATGTGAACACTTTCTAAAGTATGGTTGATCCTTCTTGTTACATTTTTTCTTACAGTTGTCTCTCTCTAAATGCTAGAAATCATCTGTTTTTGTTAAAAAATGACCAATTTTAAGTTACATAGAATAGAAGTTGTGTAGCACAAAAGCAACTCATTTACTCTCACTGTATGCATTTCATGTCACTGAATAGTTATTGTACATTTTATGAATGTGTATGATGGGCTTATGTTAAATGTTCACCTTCAGTTTGAATTTTTAGTCTGTTATTGTTTGATATTATCACATGTTACTGACTACACACAAGGTTTGAATTTGTAGCTGGATTTATCATACACTTAGAACTCACATTTACAAATAACTGTAATCCTACTGCTAATCTACATGCTTAACATATCATTGCAGCACCCACTAAGTCTTCTGAGTTCGCTGTGTCTTCGCTTACCTGTTGCTTGCTAGCAGCTTCTGACAGTTACCGCTTTCCTGTTAAACAGCCCCTGTCCTTGGTAGCCGGCGACTCTCACAGCTCCCTCTGAACTCATCCTCAAGAGTTCAGAGATACTTTATGACTGGTGGTTTAGTGGCAATCAGTTCATATTGCTGACAAGACCCTTGAGACTCACAACCTGTAATTTTATTTTCCAACTGAGCACTTACAGTTATAGTCCTCTGATGAGAGGATGGGTCTGTCATTTACAATTGCTGCTGGTCCTCCCCAGTGCAGTAATTCTCAGGTCTTGAGTCCCATGGGACTCATGACTGCATTTTACAGTCTCAGATTTGAGACTCTCTCAATCTGGAGGGCCAGGTCCCTTTATTAATTGATCCCCACATGTACAGGGTGGCCTGGTTATACCCCCAGGCACTAGGTTCCCTTTTCGTTGGCCCCTATGATTCACAGGGCTATGGTGGAGGTATGCAACCCCACCTCCACGCGGGATTGACTTGTCCTATTCACTTGGAGGTTTTCATTATATAACCTCAGCATGGACCTTACAGAAAACATCGCTTCCAACAGCTCTTCTGTTGCTGTGGCATGTATTCATTGCATAGCAACACTTCTTTATTTAGCAGTTACCTTGCAACATACTTTATAATCATGTCACAATATGTTAATGTACGTTTCATACCAAGGAATATTTGTTGTATTCTTATGTGGCCATAGAAGTCAAGCGCACCACATTGTGTGTCCTGTGATTGTAATTAATTTCTGATTATAGTCATTCTTCCGTATGCATGAATTTGCTATTTGCAGTTGAGTGTCTAGTAATGTATTATGATGTGATAGTGACTAGACATGAGGTTTGGATTAGGAATTGGATGCATTGGACACCTCTGTATCATATCACTACGAGTAATTTCAAGATTGTGACTTTTTAGGTGTCATGTCACAATATTTTCACAGATTTTCTTCGAAAGTTTTCTGTAATGTATCTTTGCACAGTTTCTCATTATCCGTTTCACACAAGGTACATCACAGTCTGTCCCTGTCTGCACGTTGCTGTTGTCCCAGCAGCATACTGTGAAGTTTGTGTCATCTACACACCCAAGCCTCCTTAATACAACAGTAAGAAGTAAACCAGTCAAATTTTTTACATTGGTTTTATGTGGTAGCGTAGTTGGTTGAGGCACTATGCTACAAGCTGGAAGATCGTGGGTTCAAGTCCCAATGAGGTCATTGAATTTTTTTCAGTTGACCTAATCCTTCCAGCTGCACTATGGCCCTGGGGTCAACTCAGCCTCTAACAGAAATGAGTACTGGGAATATTCTTGGAATATTCTTAGGGGTAAAGGGCGGCCAGTGCGTAGGGCTGACAGCCTTGCTGCCACGTATGAGCCAATTGTCTAGAAGATGTGGGAACCTCAACGTCTCACAAGCCTATGGGCCTCCGCGGCCTGTTACAGGGATCCCTTACTTTTTTTTTACATGTTTCAGTTCACATTTGGGACCACCTTCAGGCAGCTTTATCAGATACATCTCATGTTTTCAGAATATTCTCATATGGATTCATATTAGTGTTAATCATTATAATCATGTAATAGATGTAACTATAATGAAGTTGTAAAATATTTCTAATTTTATGGATTTTTATAAATTTTAAAATTCTTTCAGTATGATGTAAAATTTTATATTATTTTGTCACTCATTGTAGGTGGTGTCTTATCATCCAGGGAGCTCTTGTATTATATGTTTTGGAGCTATTCACGTGTAATGTTGTTATTAGTTTTTGTGTATTTCCACCTGTCTTCCTGAATGCCTTGAAGATGTAAGATATATAAGGCTTTATTTAGAATTTGTTTCTTAGCATACATAAACTTTGTTTCGTTCTTATTCATATTTTTTGTATTTTTGATTCTGTGTGTTCCACTGTAGATTTGTTGTGGAAATTTACATTTATGTGGGCATATTGTGGTATTATTTTTTGTCCTGGACACTTTCTGTTAACACTTTGCAGACCGGTGATTTAAATATTTAAATCTCCCTGGGAACCGGCATTTTTAAACATACTACCCTAACTTGTGCACTGTTCACTTTAAAAATTAATATAAAATCTCCTAATTAATTTTTTGAACTAAAATTTTTGGAGAACACTTACCAATGCTCCTAGAAGTGCTTGAGGGTGTGATATTTCTGGAAACTTTCCCCTTTGTGAAGTGGCATTACACAGAACTTGCAAATGTAGACATACTCCTTTTTTTTGTGAACTGTGCAAACACGGCATTGCCTAGAAGTATTCTTCCCCTTGGAATGTTCACTCTTCACAATTTTCACGAGGGTATTTTTCCGCATATCACTCAAGAGTCGCCCTGAGGGGTCCACATGAGGCCTTCGTGGGGTGGGAGTTGATGGGCCAGGTCATACTAAGTCTTTGTGTGACCCTGGTTCTGCCATCACCATCTGGACTGTAGCCCAGGCCTTTGCCACATTCATCAGAAATGCTTTGTATTTCAATTTTGAATCAGGGTTTAGATCTTTTTTAGATTTTTTGCTGTCCCCGCAGTGTTACTACGCGCAATGTTATTACCCACATTATCGTTGGAGCTACTGTCACTTTTACTCTCTGTGGCCACAATTCTTTGTTGTCCCCCGTCACTGTCGCTGTCTGAATGACAATCCATTATTATGCATCTCACAGGGCAGGTCAGCTAGGTCATTGGAGGAGAATTTGTCCTTGATCCATTCTCCCCACTAGCTACTGGCTGATACACACACAGCTTGAAGAAGGCAAAGCACTTTCCTTTATAGTCAGTTAAGTAAACAGCGAGGTCAAGTTACTGACTGCTAACTAAACATTCCAGAGTCTTATCACGCATCTGCAGGTGGTTGCGTGCAATGTAGGTGGCACCAGAGCGATGTATAATGTGTTGCAACTTATCATGTTCTAAAAACCTGTTAACATGCGAACGGTCCGCCATGTTTAAAGGCAAAAAACCTTTTAAAGGGTGCGCAGTCCGCAGAGTGTTAAAATAATGTTCGTGCTACAGTTGAGTTTCATGTGGATGAACTTATTTATGCTATATGTGTGACTGGCATGAAATATCTTTACTGTTTGCATCCTCTTGTGTATCATGATTTGTGGCATTCTGGCTGTCAGCAGAACACAACATGGCCAGAATACCACAAAGCATGCTACACAAGAGGCTGCAAACAGTAAAGATACAGAGAATGAGAATAATATTTCCTATATGATAGTTACGCATGGTGACTATTATTGTAGGTTGTGATGGAATATCTACCAGGAGGATCTCTCACAGATGTTGTGACAGAAACATGTATGGATGAAGGTCAGATAGCATCTGTTTGTCGAGAAGTGCTTCAGGCTTTGGAGTTCTTGCACTGTAACCAAGTGATTCATCGAGACATAAAATCTGATAACATCCTCCTTGGACTGGATGGCAGTGTTAAATTGAGTAAGTTCATCTGTTGTTATGAATTTTTATGCCAGAACTATATATAAACTTCAAATTAGAAGGAATATTACAGAAGTCAAAAGAGATGTTAAATATGCAAGTTTTAAGTGATTGATTTATTAATAGGTTATGCGAATACTGATTGAAATTTCAGCAATTTATCTTTGAATACACTACATTCATATTCTTGCTTTAAAATCTACTGAGCAAGGTGATAATACCCATATTCATACCTAGAAATGTAAAATGAATGAGGGAAGTTGTTGTTAGTTTCCCTGCCATGATTACCATTACAATGAAAACATGAATTAAGGTTTGGCTGGTGGGCAAGATTTTTTAACAGCATAAAATTACTGTTAAGCTTAGGTAAATCAATAATAAAACCCTGAACCATGTTCATTTAATAACCAACTTTCTTTGAGAATTCAAGAACTGAAGCTTTGTGTGGAATTATGTTCCTTAATGATCTCGCGGGCAGCACGAAACAGTTTTGAAATCCATTTCACAGCACAATTTAATTCTTTTCCACCTCCTGAATAATTTGCTTCCTCATTTATTGTTAACTTTTTTCTTTCCAATGCCATGGTCATGAGAATCACTTCCCAAGAAACTATGACCCTCAAATGCAACACAAAAAAAAAAAAAACAGTAGCCACTACCACCTGACACAGAGGATGAACAAAAGTGGATGGGGACAGCCATGCTTCCTACCACAGATTAGTAAGATACCTACCTTACTAATGTGAACATGCTCCATTGCATGCTGTGTAAATGATGGCTTTGAAGTATGCAATGGAACATGCCAATTAATCCCTTCAACCCCGAAATGTGATTCAAAGCACTTGTAAGAATCAGAGTTTTGTATGTAAGATGCAGGTAGCCCCTTAAATTGAGGAATGTTAAATTGAGGAAAATAATACATTAGGCACATGGAGCTCTGGAATTCTCCAATTCTGTCACCAACCTGTTTCCAGTCTGTCTAGTCTTGACTTTGTACTAATCTGCACTCAACTAATCTAAACTCAGCTGCAGACACACTGCCATTATATGGATGCGGCATGGACCATGGAGAATACACCACACTCATGCTGTTGCATGGTGCGGACCACATATAAAACACTTCCATTGTATTGTTGTGTGGCGCATCTGTTGGAACTTATTTACAGAGCCATTGCATAGGAATACTTTGATCAAATCTGTTGAAATATTGTTCAGTGGAAATATGTCTAGGTTCTCCCACCCTAGACTGTCGCAAGCTTTCTCATAATCTGTGAATAAACAGACATAAGAAGGTTGAATTATCTTCTTTTTTAAATGATTTCTTGAAGTGCAAGACCTGGAAACATGAAATGAGCTCTTCTGATTGCAGTATGTTGGTAAGTAGTCCCTCTTTTCCTCTCCCTTTCGGTTTTTTTATATGCATCTTTCTCAAGTCTTGCTAGGACTCTCTTGCTAGGTTTCCAGATTAGATAATGGCGCTCATAGTGTATTTTTATCAGGGTATTAATTGTGAATTTTTTTTTCAGCTGATTTTGGTTTCTGCGCACAGATTTCTCCCGAGCAATCAAAGCGCACCACAATGGTAGGGACGCCATACTGGATGGCACCTGAAGTTGTTACTCGCAAGCAGTATGGGCCTAAAGTTGATATATGGTCTCTTGGTATTATGGCAATTGAGATGATAGAAGGGGAGCCTCCGTATTTAAATGAAAACCCTCTTAGGGTAAGATAAAGTGTTTTATATTCCATGTGGTAGTGTCCTACAGCAGTTTCAACTTGATGTCTTGTCATATGAATGATTGTCTTGATGTAATTTCTTGCACTTGGAATATAATGATACAATTAATCGTTTGATTGTATTTTCAGAATTTTCTGAACATTTATGTGTTCAATATTTAAATGTACTAAACTGCCACTTGCCTTGTCCACTTGGTCTTGAGTTGATATAAGGGTTTATTTCACATATATTGTGGGTTAATCATATGGTTAATTTGAAGGCCATATTTAGTGATTATCATGATGTTTGAATTATATGTTCTGTTATTCATATTGTGGCATGTAAATATATTGCTAGGCAATGCCTGCAACACATGCAACCAGCAATACTGGAACAGTGTTTCCTTTATGTCTGCGGTGACATCACACAACAGTGGGTAGCTGTCATGTGACTTTTTTATATAGGTCTGTGCCGAGAACATTGCAAGGCTGCAGCCAGTGTGCCAATGGACTGGCTGGGTAGCAATTATGTGACATGTGTTTTCTGTGCATAGTCCATGCAGTGTGTTTGGGCAGGACAGTAGCAGTAGTAACAGAGGGAGTACAGCAGAGTATACAGCAGTAGTTGAGAGTAGTTTTCTAATTGGCAGCTGCAGAAATATCAAGAAAGGAATTAGAGAGTGCTAAGAAGACTTCACTTGTGATTTGAAGTCGCAGTGAGACTGTGATAAATCCATTCCCAGGATACAACTAGTGAAGACGGAGAATCCTAGTGCATGTGCAATGGTGAACTGAAAGTGTGATAATGATAACATTATAATTGAGTGTGATTAAGAGAACTTGGAAATGAAGGTGTTAATAAATCCACTCATCAAATCCAGAACCCATTATTATTAGTCACACTAACCCCGTTTACATAGCAGTATATTCCAGTATGTGAATATTGTACTCTCTACAGTCATACCTCAGACTTACAACTTTATTTGGCCATACAGATGGGTTGTAAGTTGAGTTCGCAAAGTTACATTCCTGGAGTTCAAAGCTCAGACCATATTTTCAATACTTTAACCCACAGTATGCTATAACTCTGTTTTTATTATAAAATCAGTAAAGTTGTATCAAATAACATAGTTTTTAACATTTAAACTATTAAAAATAAGTAAACTAATATTTTGTGGTGGATTTTTGAGAGTTATAATTTGAGTCATAAGCCCAAAAATTGTGAACATGAGTGTGATTGATTTTAATTGAATGTGATTGTAAGTTGGGAAGTCACAGGTTGAGGAATGACTACAGTGAAATTCTGTAAAAACTGACTCCAGTTTATTTGTTAGAGTGCACATGGGCTTATAATAATATGTGTACCAGATAGGTTAGCATAGTGGTGATACTCTCGACTTGTAATTCTGAGGTTGGAATCTCAGCTGGCACTGGCCATTTTGACTGAGGTTTATTGTGACTTTTCTCAGTCCTTTCAGGCAAATGCCAGGATAGTACCTCAGTTAGGCCACAACCGCTTCCTTCAAATTATTTCTAATTTGTCATCCCTCCATCTGCGTACCATTCAATGCTATATACTCTATCTTCTGCCAGCTGATTACATATCCCCTCAAAAGTATCAAATATATGCTTCTACTAAAATTAAGAGGACATTTCTCAGGAAAATGCGCGCGCGCGCACACACACACACACACACACACACACACATACAGACAGAGTCATGTGATGGAGTGTGGCTATAGACAGGTTTTGGATTGATGACTTGATTTATTGTACACTGTAATACAGTGCATGACTACACTTTACAGTTCACTGTTATGCACATACTAGTGTTCACAGTCTTCACTGCCGTTGCTTGGTAGCAGCTTCCAACAGGAGATATTCCCCTTCCTCTGGGCCCCCAAACTGTCCCTGGCCCCAGCTACCAGCTTCTGACACAACAGCTCATAAAGACTGAACCACAGCAGCTCTCTGACTACAACTGATAACGGGTCCTCTTTATGACGTCTTGACATGGACCGCGTAGAAAACACTGCTTCCCATAATTGCTGTATTCTCTTGTTGCTGTGGGGACAGGCTTGTTTACTGAACCTTTATGTAGCAATGGCTATCATGTAGTTGCTTATTTCACAGTCGTTGCCTAGCAGTGGGTCTGCATGCCTCAGTACGTACTTACATAGAGGCATGGTACATACTAATGTGAAACATAATGTTGTTTGCTATCGGAATACACAATAATTATATTATTTTGATTCAGGCTCTTTACCTTATCGCAACCAATGGGAAGCCAGATATTAAAGAGAAAGAGAAGCTATCTCCGATCTTCCAGGACTTCCTGGACCAGTGCCTAGAAGTAGAGGTTGACAAGCGGTCACCTGCATCCGAACTGCTCAAAGTGAGTTATGAGGAAATTCTGTGACCTGTTCATCAGCCAGTTTGAATAAAAGATGGAAGTGCCTAACTGTAGTGTGTAGTTTCATATGGTTTGGTGCACTACATGCAATTGTCATGATCTTGAAATGCAGGAATCATCTTTTGTAAATGAATACTGCATGCTAATTGCAGCACAGTAATTAGTTCCTGATGGAAGTTATTCATGAGGCACATCCTTACTAATTATTTTGAGTGTGATCAGATTCACTGTCAAACTACAGTATACGCCAAAATATGCAGTACTGAAACTCGCGCATCTCGAACATGCATGTGCTTTTGTTGACGGGGCATAGCTCCAGCTGCATGTGTTCCCAATAGTGAAAAGGAAGTTGTGTTGTGCATTTGTTGTTGGAAATGGGTCTCTTGACAGAGGAAAAAGTATTCATAGTTAAGTATTATTTCTGCTCATATGGCAGTGGTCGCCAGACAACTCGCTTCCTTGGTTTTGAGTGGCCAGATGTTATCGTCCAGAAACCGCTACATAGTACACGTGTGACGATATGGTGTGTTGTCTCAGCACATGGTATATTAGGGCCCTATTTCATTGAGGATGAGGAAGGCAATGCTCTTACTGTCACCCAAGAACGCTACAGGGACATGGTGATCAGACCATTTCTTCAGGATTGAGAAGGTTCTGTCGTGCAAGGGGCCTTCACATGAATAGACAGTGGTATCAATAGGACATCTTTTCTTTTCAGTACTGTAAGTTTTGGCGCATACTGTATTTGATTATGTGCATACAAAATAGCTGCATTATAAGTGCCTCATAATTATCATGTAGGTACAGTACAACCATTGCATAGTAAGTTGACTGTTTGGATTTTGATCCATTTATAAAAGCATGCTTATTAAAGTAGTTAACATCATCTGAGTGGGTGGACCTGCGCAGTTATTCAGCTGTGTTAGTTGGTTTTGATGACCAGTGTGTGACACAAAAGGCATCCTGATGTGTGTCATGGTTTGTTACCACAGTGAATACCCTTTGTTTTGTCAGCTGAGCTGTTTTAGTAGATAATATGGGCTCTTATTATGTACAGTACTATACAAACTGAAATGTCAAATCAAAGTAAACTCATGCAATGAAAGTGAGGTGTGGAAGGATTGGTGCTGGCTGTGTAAAAGTAGGTAAGGAATTACTTCCGCAGTGTGAGTCTTATCTAAGTGCAGTCAAGTGTAATGATAATGATAGCAGGTCAGGGGTCAGTGCTTATCATTTTTGTGAGAATCAAGAATACTGTCTGTTTACAAAGCATATGGTTTGAGATGAAAGAGAGGTTGCATGTCAGAAATTATGATGTCAAATTAGTGCTGAGCAAGTTAATTGAAACAGTTTTATTTTATGGTTTTTCTCAGTCCCAGTAGACATTTTCTGGGATAGTACTGTAAATGGGGCCACAATCACTCCCTTGCTTATCTTCTCCAGTTCATTATGTAATCATTATGTATTATCATATAATCACTCAGTGCTGTATAGTTGTTAGTTAGTTAGTTAGTTAGTTAGTTATTGGAGAGGGTGGGTTTCCCCATGCACTTAGACCTGTATTGGTCCATTGTGCTTCCCTCTATGATTTCTACCAGTCTCTATATCCTACCGGTACTGGTGCTTACCATCAGTCCTGCCCAGGCAGTGAGACCGGCTCTACTAGCTGAGAGGTATCTATAATGCTTCCCCCATCTACCAGAGGTATTAGAGACTGCCGTTGGGTGGGAAACGTCCGTTAATTTGGCTCAGTGACCTCCTTTGGAGATATGAGGTTCTTTTACGTGCCATAAAGCTACGACACGGGACCCACGGCTTAAAGTCCCTCCCGGAGGACTTGTTCCCTGAATTTTTCCACCCTTAAAAATTCGACGACCTCTGCCAGGTATTTGAACCCGCGTACTACGAGTCATGAGGTGGGAACGTTACCTCTAGACTGCGGAGGCCGCTTTTTATGTACCTTACTGGAGGTGTATTATTTTAAGGAATAGTTTTCCATAGCATTTCACCCATAGTTTATCTATACATAACTTGTTTTGTATAGCATCCCTTCCTGAAGCTGGCTCGTCCCCTAGCAAGCCTGACACCGCTCATCATGGCAGCAAAGGAAGCAGCAAAGAGTCACTAGTTGTCAGCATGATGTCACTGCATGGAACAGTTACATCAGTATCTTGGTGGGGTGCCGTGGTGTTGGACAACAAGAGAGTGAGTGAATGTTGCGTGAGGAAGAGTATGTGAGCAGCTCAAAACAGATTAGTGACTGATAGTGGAGTTTCAGTGATGGAGTGAAGTTAGAAATCATGAGTGGTTTAAGTGACATTTCAAAACTAAAGAATACTGGTAATGGAATTTGAATCATGATTAACATATTTAATTTAAACCATTATGAATAATGCAAAGATTGTACTCTTTGTGGTTTACATACATACTCATTGAGAAAGGAATATTAATTATCACCATCATCATTATTTTTATTGGCACATGTAGGGGGTATGCGTGATGAAATGACAGGTTCTAGTTCGGATGATTGGAATTATTAACAGCTTGGTGACACCCTCTTTTAATCACATTTAAATTAGAGCACTATAGCTGATTTACATGCACCTCATAATTCACCGTTACACTCACACACTGGTCCTCTCCTGGTAATGCAGTTAAAACACAGGAACCAGCACTTCAGTTCACTCCAAATATTTCACATAATTAAGGTATTCAGATCATACTTTAAATCTTCTACAAACTTCCTGTTGCTATCACTCTTAACTGTTACTTAAACACACTCACTCTCAAATACTCCCCTCTCTTCTGTCTCTTAACTGTCATTATATAGCCTCCACATTGACCATGCAGAAAACAGCCTATATTGTTGGAACGTGTTTACTGAGTGATCACATAGCAACGGTCAGTGCACCGACTGCATAGAAAATACTTCACTCCNTAAACAACATATAAGCCTCAAAAAAGCGTCAGCTGCCCCGGTTAAGCCGCAAACCGGTTAATCCGCCCCCGGATAATCGAGAGTTGACTGTATTAAAATATTCCTTGACTCACTTTTTTCAGTAGGTGTTCTATTTTAAATACTTCTGTTGTCCACTTTTTAACCCTTCAGCTCTGGAGGATTTAGGTCAATTTAAGTAACCTGAGAATAGAGGAGACAAGGCTTTAAATTTGTAAAAATGTGCATGCTTGCACTGAAATGACTATACTTGTACGGTATTAATGATCTTCAATCAGAGTTTGTGGAAAAATTTTGCAATATCTGCTCAATATGTGGATGTGGTATACATCACATCAGTAGTTCAGCCTGATTTAAGTTTCATCTCTCAGTGGTTCCTACTGCTAACAGATGCCATGTTATCAACTGTGTGATTAGTCATAACTCAAGTAATCCTTGGACTTGGCATATGAAAGCAAGCATTCATAATGAGGTGAGCCCTTTTTGGAAAGATTGAATAATACCAGGCTAGTCTGTCTTGTGTTGATGTGCCAGTTATTGTCGAGCAGTAACATGATGGCAGCACAGAGTAGAACATGTGTAGAGCTACAAAATCTTGCATGACATGCTCATTTGTGTGTATTGACCATGAACACTAAGACAGAGATCAGTCACAGTTCTGGCGTACAGTGAGTGTTTCATTTGGTTCCATTCAGAAAACATAATCTTAACAGAAACATCAGTGTTTGGCAGCAGGATGGAAAACTCATCAGAAAAAGGATGACTGAATATTTAACTTACCATACCAGAATTAGTAACTGTGAAAAATATACAAATCAAATGTCTGTTAGTGCATACTGAATGTTATAAAAATTGGTCTTGCAGAGGAAACCCATCAGTTGTGGTATTACTGATATTTTGAATATATGGGATAGTGATGTATTGCATGTGGGCCTGTGATATTGAACATGTCAGATGGTGCTGGGTGTAAAGGTAAAGTTGTCACTGTGCTTAACTAATTAAGCACTACACCATGAAGGCGTATGGGGGAGTGGATGTATAGATGCACATTTTCTTGACCTTGGAACTAGTTGGAGGTGAGTGGTCAGCTTCCTGCCCCGGCTGCTTTCTACCTGGAAAAGCGTCCCTGGTACCCATTGGATAGGAGGTTGGGCAGACCCAGAGATGGTCTGGACAACATTGAGAAGTGGAAATTCTTGACCCCACCAGGACTTGAACTCCGACCCCTTGCTCAGCCAGCCAGTAACCAGTTGCTATACTGACTGCACTTTGGTCAGCCATCCAAGTACTAACCATGCCTAATGTTGCTTAACTTCAGTGATGAGATGAGAACCAATGTTTTCAAAGTGGTATAGCCAGTGCTTGGATTTAAATGATTATATTATATGAAGTACATACTTTGAAATTGCAGGCCTACATTGGCGTTCACCAATACAATTTTTTTTTTTTTGTAAAATTAGCCTTTAAAATGTTTTGGAACTGATCTTAGTAGGGCTGTAGTATTCCATTTTAGGAGCTGGATATACAAGACCATTTACAATAAAATATAAATGGTGTAAAATACACTTAGACCACTCATGTTTTGAAAGACATGGCATTATGTAGTGACAAGTGGATGGTATGAAGAGACTATATACTGTTTATTTAAACAATGTATCCACATGAGTGTGGGCACACTTTTAAGGAAAATGTAAAGATCATCCTACAGATATGGCAAGTACACTGTTTATGGGGCCTCTCAACTGCTGATCCTGTGCCACTGGCCTCAACATGAGTCGTATGTGGAGCTTTTGTAGTGTTATGTTGTTGTGGTATAGGGTTCATGTTGTGACAGACCCTGTAGCCAGTCACACCTCTGCCTTACTTGCAGCCTAGGATTAATAAAACTGGTGGCTGGTGTGGAGAGAGGTTGGAGCCAGTTGTACATGTTAAGTCTTGGGATGGGGAAACTGCAAGACAAGATGCCAGATCAGAGGTTTTGTTTTTATGCAGTGTTACCACAAGTTATCAGTTGTAGCCATGAGTTCAGTTTTCATTGAGTCGATTGAAATATGTGTTTTGTAAATTTTCAAGGTATTTTATGTTCACTTCAAGTGAAATGATTTTCAGAAATCTGTATCTCTCTGAAAGAACAGTAACAGTATTTTATCAACCTGCAACACTTTAAGACCTCCAGGAAAGTAATTTGATAGTTTTAATTTATGAACTTTTATTCATCATATTTATCAACATAAAACATCTCCATGGTACAGAAAACTGTACCAGTGATTGTTTTAAGAGAAACTGGTCCTATATGGAAATAAGCCTAGATGGATTATGGTTCTTGTGGTTGTTAGTTTTTATTGTAATTTTAAGATTGTTGTGGCTGAAAGTCAGATTTTGTGGTTGTTTGAAGGTAGTACTGGCTTAGATTCTATTTCATACTTCTTGCTTCAGTAATTAGTCACTAATAGCAATTGAACAGTGTACTGTACAGCACAAGCTTGGTATTGTAATGAGGGAAAGTCTGATTCATATTTTGGCATTATTTTCATATAGGATTAGTGACACTTATGTTCCTGGGTTTTGTGTAACTTAGAATTGGACATACCAGCTCCGGTAAATCATCAGGCCAAGGGTAATTAGAAAGAAATTGAGAATCAACAATGTACAAGTAGTTATGTATTATTTCAAATAGAGATATGGAAGTTGTTATTGTATTAGTTTTAGACATTTTAACTGATATACAGGGTGTTTCACGACTTTAGGGCATAACTGCAGGAGGTGATTTCCTAGGTCTTTGTGATCAAAAAAGTTCACAGAAACATGTATCTGATTTTGGACGGTTACGGAGTTATGACCGTTTTTTCATTCCTGTACACACCCTCGTGTGAACCGCGTCTTGTCATCTGGTGGGTCGCTATTTTTAGCCAGCTACAGACAGAGCGTTCTCGTTATCTCGACACTTGAGAGGTACCTAAAGCATGGTGGGTTGGTATGTCTGGTGTGGTTCACAACTGAGCGGCAGCCTGTGTTGCGGCCGGCGGTGGCATTTTCGAAAATCAGCTTTAAGCACCAGTAAATTCAAACTAAAAGTAATTTCACGAAGTTAACTTTACATTCATACTTTAAATATATCGTGTATTATGCTGGTTTATTATTTTGTTCCGTTTATTGTCAGTAATTGTTACCTTCTATTCTGAGTTTAAAACGGTCATAACTCTGTAACCGTCCAAAATCAGACACATGTTTGTATGAACTTTTTTGATCACAAAGACCTAGGAAATCACCTCCTGCAGTTATGCCCTAAAGTCGTGAAACACCCTGTATTTTGCATTTTGTGATATATTTATTGTAGCATTTCTGATGATTTTCTACAGTGGTTGATTGTGATTGTGACATTTTTTAAAACCCTTTTTAAACTATATATTTTAAGGTGTATTAATGTAAGATGCATTTAAAAATCAGAATATCTGTGAAAGGTATTGCTGACACAATACAAGGTATCCCACAGTCTTTCCTTGTTTGTTCATATATTTGAAATAATATCAAATGATATCTCTTACATGTGGCAGCTATTGTTTCTGACACTGTGAACACAAAAATGTTGATCCCACAGGAACAAAATTTCTGTATCTCTATTTACATTTATTATCACTATAGAAAACTCTTAAACTTTGATGCTGATAATGATGGTGGTGGTTTTGATGGTTATTTTTAATGTCCAAAGGACTGCCACTTCATATCATGCTCCAAGTATTTTCATTTTCATTTCACTGGACATGTGTGTATATATATGTGTGTGTTGAAATCCAAGATGAAGTTACACAAAATGAATGAATGTCCATATCATGATGGAAAGGTGGGAAGTTAATGCAGTGATTGTTAAGTATGAAATATGAGTTTAAAGAGAGCTGTTTGCTGAGTTACCCATTATGGTAATGGGTTATATAACCTCATTTTCCTGCAGTTGTGCATTGTACTCTGGATGGATTTTCATTTTTAACAGTAGCAGACTATGGGGCCACCTCTAATTAATGAGTGATATAGGCATTCTTGACTTCCTCAGTTATTCGTTTGTGGATCGGAATGAATATGTTGTGAAGGCAGCAGATGCCAAGGATTGTAGCATTATTGATTTTTTTATCATTTAATTACTTTGCTAACTAGATGTAATGAATACATGGCATGTGTTGAGAATTTTTATCCAGATCGACGTGTGAATTTGTTTCTTGCAGTTTGCTTTTATTATTAGGTATTTCAATGAAGATTGTTGTCTTCTGGATGTGATGCCATGCAGTTACCATCATTTCAGAGAACCTGCTACTTCCTTCTTCAAAGTAGAAGAGTAAGCAAATCACAAAAAAAGTGGTATGGGTGTAGGGAGAGGGGGCTGGGACCATGAAAAGCAATAGAAGCAAGGAGAAGTGTAAAGACTCTTTGGCCTTTTGAAGAGTTGTTTTCCAAGAGCAGAATGGTTGAGAGAAATAGTGGCTGAATGAACCAAGAGGAGGTAGAAGGAAGTCAGGAGAAACAGCAGTCATTTAAAGGGTCTCTTTTAAGGGATTAGGGGTGGGGGGGGCATGAAGCAGAGTAGAGAAAGGTTGAACTATATAAATGGGTTATGTGAGGAGGGAAGAGGAAGGATGCTGTAACAAGGGCAGAGTTCATTAGTCTAAATGTCACGGTTCAAGAATTAAATCATGGGAAATCTATGAAGAAAGCTTCCCATGTTTTTCTAGGCAGAATAAGAGAAGGTTCTAAGACTTCTTAACCAGTTAAGTGTATATATTACATGTTCTTATCTCTCCTAAAGTGGGACAGCAAAATTCCCCTGACAATTAAATTTGATACTGCAGCGTTTAATTTATAATTGCTCCTCAACCCTGTGTCCTTATAAAATTATGAAACAGTTCTTTGAAAGACCAATTGTCAGAGTTCATTTATATAGCCATTACATTAAAGTTTATATTTTGTAATAAAAATTTTGTACTTT